GATGGTGGGGGTGGTGGTGATGGTGGTCATGGTGATGGTGGTGGTGGGGGTGGTGGTGGTGGTGGTGATGATGGTGGTGATGGTGGTGGTGATGGTGATGGTGGTGATGATGGTGGTGATGGTGATGGTGGTGATGGTGGTGGTGATGGTGGTGGTGATGGTGGTCATGATGGTGATGGTGGTGGTGATGGTGATGGTGGTGATGGTGGTGGTGATGGTGGTGATGATGGTGGTGATAATGATGGTGATGATGGTGGTGATGATGGTGGTGATGGTGGTGATGATGGTGGTGATGGTGGTGGTGATGATGGTGGTGATGATGGTGGTGATGGTGGTGATGATGGTGGTGATGGTGGTGGTGATGATGGTGGTGATGATGGTGGTGATGATGGTGGTGATGGGGCGGTGGTGATGGTGGTGGTGATGGTGGTGATGATGGTGATGGTGGTGATGGTGGTGATGGTGGTGGTGATGGTGATGGTGGTGATGGTGGTGATGGTGGTGGTGATGGTGGTGATGATGGTGGTGATGGTGGTGGTGATGATGGTGGTGGTGATGGTGATGATGATGGTGGTGATGGTGGTGGTGATGATGGTGTTGATGGGGCGGTGGTGATGGTGGTGGTGATGGTGGTGATGATGGTGATGGTGGTGGTGATGGTGGTGGTGATGATGGTGGTGATGGTGGTGATGATGGTGGTGATGATGGTGGTGATGATGGTGGTGATGATGGTGGTGATGGTGGTGATGATGGTGGTGATGATGGTAGTGATGATGGTGGTGATGGTGGTGGTGATGACGGCGGTGGTGATGATGGTGATGATGGTGGTGATGATGGTGGTGATGATGGTGGTGATGGTGGTGGTGATGATGGTGGTGGTGATGGTGATGATGGTGGTGATGGTGGTGATGATGGTGGTGATGGTGGTAATGATGGTGGTGATGATGATGGTGGTGGTGATGGTGGGGATGGTGGTGATAGTGATGATGGTGATGGTGGTGTTGATTGTGATGGTGATAATGATGGTGTAGCAGATGGTGATGGTGGTGATGGTGATGATGGTGGTGATGGTGATGATGGTGGTGGTGATGATGGTGATGATGGTGGTGGTGATGATGGTGATGATGGTGGTGGTGATGATGGTGATGATGGTGGTGGTGATAATGATGGTGTAGCAGATGGTGATGGTGGTGATGGTGATGATGGTGGTGATGGTGATGGTGGTGATGGTGGTGATGATGGTGATGGTGGTGATGATGGTGATGGTAATGGTGGTGATGGTGGTGATCGTGATGGTGGTGATGGTGGTGATCATGATGGTGGTGGTGATGGTGGTGGTGATGGTGGTGGTGATGGTGGTGGTGATGGTGGTGGTGGTGATGGTGGTGGTGGTGATGGTGGTGATGATGGTGATGGTGGTGATGGTGATGATGGTGATGATGGTGATGGTGTAGTAGTGGTGATGGTGATGATGGTGATGGTGGTGATGGTGATGATGGTGATGATGGTGATGATGTTGGTGATGGTGATGATGGTGATGGTGGTGATGATGGTGATGATGGTGATGTTGGTAATGGTGATGATGATGGTGGTGGTGATGGTGGTGGTGATGGTGGTGATGGTGGTGTTAGTGATGTTGGTGATGGTGATGGTGGTGATGTTGGTGATGGTGATGATGGTGATGATGGTGATGGTGGTGATGATGGTGATGATGTTGGTGATGGTGGTGATGTTGGTGATGGTGGTGATGGTGATGATGGTGATGATGATGGTGATGGTGATGATGATGGTGATGATGATGGTGATGGTAAGTGCGGCAAAACAACCCCCTACCTCCTCGTGGTGCCGGATGGGCAACTCTGTCATGGACAGTGCTGTGGGGGGAGGGCCAATTCCGATTGGCCTCTCCCCTCAGGGCGTTTGTAGCCACCACAGCGGCCAAATGGGGGCTCTGGACGGGTGCGAGGGGCTGGTAACCCCTCCACCTTCAATAAATTACCACAACCACGTCTAAAATATCTAACTAATAAGCTTGTGCCGGAGGCCCCGGGGGGGACAGGCGTCTATGACGTCTCCTGGCCAAACCCCATTTGATGGAGCCAGGAGATTTAATTTTTACCCTCGGGGCTACTCCAGAAACAACAAAAAGCCACTTCGTGTGGCCACTTGGAATGTTCGAACGCTCACTGCGGAGGAGAGGCTGCCACTCCTCTGTCGGGAGCTGAACCGGTACCGCCTGGATCTCTGTGGCATTCAGGAGTTCCGGTGGACCGGCTCTGGCTCCTGCCACCATGAGGGGTGGACAGTCCTCTACTCGGGGCAGGAGACTGACAAACAACAGGGTGTGGCTCTTCTTCTGAACAAAAGAATGAAGGGGGCGTGGGAGCGTGGTGCTGAGGTGTGGGAAGCTGTAAGTCCCAGGCTACTTTGGGCTCGCCTTACCATCAACCGGAGGCGAGGAGTGGTGGTTGTGGTTACTTATGCCCCCACCAAAGACGGACATCCGTGGAGGGATGCAGGCAAGGCCGATGAGTCAGATGCCTTCTATGACCTCCTGTCACAGGTGCTGGCTAAAGTGGCCCCTTGGGATACAGTCCTCTTGTTGGGTGACTTCAATGCCCCAGTTGGTCATGATGCTGGCACCTGGTCTGGAGTGATTGGAAGACATGGGCCAGATCAGCTCAATAACAACGGTAGGAGGCTGCTAGTTTTTTGTGCAGCCCATGGGCTTGTAATTACCACACACGCTCTTCTGGCATCGGCGCGTCCACACAACATCATGGATGCACGCCGGGTCCAAGCAAGAACATCTGCTGGACTTCATAGTGACGGAACCCATGTCCTTGACACCAGGACCTACCATGGAGCTGATCTGCATTCTGACCCATCGACTAGTCATCTGTAAGATGCGCCTGCCATTCCACTCCGGTGGTGGGTGTACACCCAGGACCCCATTCCAACTTAAGGTGGCCTGGTCTCAGCTAGCTGATGAAAGTTGCAAGCGAGAATTTCATCATTGATTGCGGCTTGGGTTGGCATCGTCCCTCACTCAAGCCACCGCATGCCTAAACAGCTTTTGTTCGGCCGGTTCGAGGGGGCTAAACGGGCTCGGCACGGGCTGGAGAAGAGATGGAGTGATGTGGTACAGGAGGACGTGGAGCTGAGTGGACTTGCCGATGACTGGTACCAGCGGTGTCAAGATTGGCCTCTGTGGAGGAGGCTCGTGAAGGACGCTACTGGGCAGTTGGAGGCAGTCGCCCTCCAGCAACAACGGAGGGCGGAGGAGCCCAGGTGGTGCATCAGCCAGTCATCTCGGCCATCTCAGTCAGTCGACCCGTGGCACCTGCTGGGTCTGCCCCGTGACCTCCTGCCAGCGGGCGTTCGACACTTCACGTGGCCTCAAGGTGCACATGGCCTGGCACAAGCGTCGTGGCGACGTCACCGCCACTTAGTGGCGAATGACGGTTGTTGTTGTTGTTAGTGTGTGAGTGTCTGTGTGAGTGTGTGTCAGTGTCTGTGTGAGTGTTTGTGTGTGAGTGAGTGTTTGTCTGTGTGAGTGTGTCTGTGTGAGTGTCTGTGTGAGTGAGTGTGTCTGTGTGTTGTTGTCTGTGTTGTTGTTGTCTGTGTGTGTTGACGACAGAGAGTGTCTGTGTGTTGTTGTTGTCTGTGTTGTTGTTGTTGTCTGTGTGTTGTTGTTGTCTGCGTGTGTTGACGACAGAGAGTGTCTGTGTGTTGTTGTCTGTGTGTGTTGTTGTTGTTGTCTGTGTGTGTTGACGACAGAGAGTGTCTGTGTGTTGTTGTCTGTGTGTGTTGTTGTTGTTGTCTGTGTGTGTTGACGATTGTGCAGCGTGTTGACGGCATCTCCTCTGGTCCACACTCTACACTACATCACCTGTTGTTGTCTGTGTTGTTGTTGTTGTCTGCGTGTTGTTTGTGCACTCTACACTACATCACCTCCAGCCACGACGCTTCCCTGTGCAATGCGAGCGTCAATGGGCTTGTTGTTGCTGGGCTCTGGTCCAATCACGCGGCCCGCTGTATTGGGGGGCGTGTGGGGGAGGGGCCACCAGCGGGGCATTATGGGAAGGCCGGATCTGACGACCCGGAATGAGAGGAGTCATAGCCATGTTTGTGTTGTTGTAGTATAGAGACTGATGGCCTTAATCTAAGTTGTCTTGTGGTTGTTGTTGTTTAACTTTTATGGCTTTATTTTGGTGATTTCGAAAAGTGTATTGGTTTGGCCATGTTTGTGTTGTAGTACAGAGTTAGACTGATGGCCTTAGTCTAAGTTGTCTTGTTGTTGTTGTTTGTGTTGTTGTAGTACAGAGTTAGACTGATGGCCTTAATCTAAGTTGTGTTGTGGTTGTTGTTGTTTGACTTTTATGGCTTTATTTTGGTGATTTTCGAAAAGTGTATTGGTTTGGCCATGTTTGTGTTGTAGTACAGAGTTAGACTGATGGCCTTAATCTAAGTTGTGTTGTGGTTGTTGTTGTTTGACTTGCATCCCACTGGGATTTTTGCACACAGCGTTGGTGTGTACGGTGATTTTCCTGCAATATTTTGCTGTCTTTTCTTGGATTTTCTGTTTGCACTCAGTCACATAGTCACTTTAAGATGTTTTCTTGTTCATGTTTTTGTTTGTTGCGGTTGCACCCGATTCAAGAGCCGAATGGCTCACAGGGCTACACCTAATACTTGAACTTGAAACAGCTAACGGAGGCGCGTGCGTGTCCGTGGGGGGTGCGGAGAAGAACCTGAATAAGAGACAAGCGGAGACCAGCAGTGCCTGACGGAGTGTTTTATTACACCTGGACTCTTCTCATACTGATGGTTGTTGTGGTTGTTGTTGGTTGTTGTTGGTTGTGGTTGTTGTTGTAACTCGCTGACCCCTAAGCCTCGATCTGTGAAATCTGCGAGAAAGAGCGTTGGAGCTGATCGGATTCCTCCTCCACCACCACTACCTCCACCACCTCCACCTCGTCCACCACTACCACCTCCTCCACCACCTCCACCACCTCCTCCACGTCCTCCACCACCTCCTCCACCACCTCCTGGCTGGTGGTGGGTGGGTGTGGTGGTCTTGGGTGATGGTGTTGGGTGGTGATGGTGGGTGTGATGGTGGGGGTGATGGTGGGTAGGTGTGATGGTGGTGGTGATGGTGGGTGTGATGGTGGGTGGGTGTGATGGTGGATGTGGTGGTGGGTGGGTGTGATGGTGGGGGTGATGGTGGGTGGGTGTGATGGTGGGTGGGGGTGATGGTGGGTGGGTGTGATGGTGGGTGTGGGTGTGATGGTGGGTGTGGGGGTGATGGTGGGTGTGATGGTGGTGGTGATGGTGGGGGTGATGGTGGGTGGGTGTGATGGTGGGTGGGTGTGATGGTGGGTGGGTGTGATGGTGGGGGTGATGGTGGGTGTGGGGGTGGTGGTGGGTGTGATGGTGGGTGTGGTGGTGGGTTGTGGGGATGGTGATGGTGGGTGGGTGTGATGGTGGGGGTGGTGATGGTGATGGTAGGTAATGGTGGGTGGGTGATTGTGATGGTAGGGGTGATGGTGTGATGTTGGGTGGGTGTGATGGTAGTGATGGTGTGATAGTGATGGTGTGATGTTGGGTGTGGGTGATGTTGATGTGAGATTGTGACGGATCTTTGCTCCCTTAGGTGGAGTCGCGGCTGCCTCACTGCAGGTGGAAGTCCAAATCCGCCGTGTCCCTGAAGGTCGCAAGACCATTGCAGTGACCCTTGGCCACAAAGTCACTCGTGAGATGTTGACTACCTCGCCTGGTGCGCAGGAGGTCGTGGGTTCGATCCCAGACACTGAGAGATGTTGACTACCTCGCCTGGTGCGCAGGAGGTCGTGGGTTCGATCCCAGACACTGAGAGATGTTGATTACCTCGCCTGGTGCGCAGGAGGTCGTGGGTTCGATCCCAGACACTGAGAGATGTTGACTACCTCGCCTGGTGCGCAGGAGGTCGTGGGTTCGATCCCAGACACTGAGAGATGTTGACTACCTCGCCTGGTGCGCAGGAGGTCGTGGGTTCGATCCCAGACACTGAGAGATGTTGACTACCTCGCCTGGTGCGCAGGAGGTCGTGGGTTCGATCCCGACCCTGAAGAGGCCTGCTGCTGTATGTTTGCAGTCTGCGTCTCTTTGTCTCTGTGTGTGTCTGTGTGTGTGTCTGTGTGTGTGTCTGTGTGTGTGTCTGTGTGTTTGTCTGTGGGTGTGTGTGTCTGTGTGTTTGTCTGTGGGTGTGTGTGTGGGTCTGTGTGTGGGTCTGTGTGTATTTGTCTCTGTGTGTGTGTCTGTGTGTGTGTGTTTGTCTGTGGGTGTGTGTGTGGGTCTGTGTGTGGGTCTGTGTGTATTTGTGTCTGTGTGTCTGTGGGTCTGTGTGTGGGTCTGTGTGTATTTGTCTCTGTGTGTGTCTGTGGGTCTGTGTGTATTTGTCTCTGTGTGTGTGTCTGTGTGTGTTTGTCTGTGGGTGTGTGTGTGGGTCTGTGTGTCTGTGTGAGACCCACACTAAAACTGAACAATGTTGATGTCACCAGGTGTAAGAGCCCAATGCTACTGTGTAGTAGATACTTTGTCAGAAGCCACGTGGACATCACAGATGATAGCAGCTCCACCACGTGGGCTGATGTCGTCATCATCATCATCATCACGTGGACATTCATAGCAGCAGGCAAATTACTCTAAACGTGTCGGTGACGTTGAAGACAAAATCCACGCAGTGACCACGGGGAGAGAGACGCAGACTCAAAATATACAGCAGCAGCAGGCGTCTTCAGGGTCAGGATCGAACCCACGACCTCCTGCGCACCAGGCGAGGTAGTCAACATCTCACCACGGGGCGAGAGAGAGATGACCATTGGCAGTTAACTCAGAACAAAGCTTTTATTAACACTTAAAATAAGCGACAGGAGCTTTTACAACCACCGTATACGACATGCAACACCAACAACAACATCAACAATGACAACATCAACAACGACAACAACAACAACGCACGCAACATCGATTCCTAATGCTGCCCAACATCATTAGTACAGCCTCATTAGTATAACCCCACCCCCCATCTCATTAGCATTGCCCCACTCATCAAATTAGCATGGCCCCCACCCACAACCGCCACTACGCTGCGTGACGTCGCCACGGCGCTTGGTGCCAGGCTAGGTGCACGTCATCCTCACAGCAGCAGCAGCAACAGCAGCTGTAGCAGCAGCAGTAGTAGTAGCAGTAGTAGCAGCAGTAGCAACAGCAGCAGTAGTAGTAGTAGCAGTAGTAGCAGCAGTAGTAGCAACAGCAGTAGTAGCAGCAGCAGCAGTAGTAGTAGCAGCAGTAGCAACAGCAGCAGTAGTAGCAGCAGTAGTAGCAGCAGTAGTAGCAACAGCAGTAGTAGTAGCAGCAGCAGTAGTAGCAGCAGCAGTAGCAGCAGCAGTAGTAGTAGTAGCAACAGCAGTAGTAGCAGCAGTAGTAGTAGCAGCAGCAGTAGTAGTAGCAGCAGCAGTAGCAGCAGCAGCAGTAGTAGTAGCAGCAGCAGTAGTAGTAGCAGCAGCAGTAGTAGCAGCAGCAGTAGCAACAGCAGCAGTAGCAGCAGCAGTAGTAGTAGTAGCAACAGCAGTAGTAGTAGTAGCAGTAGTAGCAGCAGTAGTAGTAGCAACAGCAGTAGTAGTAGCAGCAGCAGTAGCAGCAGCAGCAGTAGTAGTAGCAACAGCAGTAGTAGCAGCAGCAGCAGTAGCAGTAGTAGCAGCAGTAGCAGCAGAAGTAGCAGTAGTAGCAGTAGCAGCAGCAGTAGCAGTAGTAGTAGCAGCAGTAGTAGTAGCAACAGCAGCAGTAGTAGCAGTAGCAGCAGCAGTAGCAGCTTCTGGGTGCTGGGTGTCGAACACAAGATGGTAGCCACCGCATCTACTATACACTACACTATACACTACACTTTACACTACTATACACTACACTATACACACTACATTATACACTCTACACTACACTACTACTACACTACACTACTATACACTACACTACTATACACTACACTACTATACACTACACTATACAATACATTATACACCACACTATACACTATACACTACTACACTATACACTACACTACTATACACTATATACACTACATTATACACTCTACACTACACTACTGCTACACTATACACTATACACACTACATTATACATTACACTATACATTACTACACTCTACACTACTATACACTATACTACTACACACTACACTACAGTACTACACTATACACACTACACTACTACACTATACACTATATACACTACATTATACACTCTACACTACACTACTACTACACTACACACTACACTACTACACTATACACTACACTATACACTACACTATACACTACACTATACACCCCCCTACCCACCCACCCACCAGCAACTTCTCAGTCGGGGTGCTCAATCTTCATCGCCCACAGCCCCCCCCCCCCCCCCCGTGACCCCCCCCGTGACCCCTCCCGTGACCCCCCCCGCGACCCAGCCCCCCCCGTGACCCCCCCGTGACCCCCCCCGTGACCCCCCCCGTGACGTCACGACGGCCGCATCGTCCCACAGACCTGCGGGGGAGGGGCGGGGGGGGGTGGGTTGGTTAATAATTAATTAATTGCGTCGCCAAATTTGAATGTCGATTGAAGCCATGGATGACATTTCCACTGGAATGAAACCACCGGGCCAATCGTTAAAGGTCATCGTTGTTTAGCTGTCCAGATGACCAAGCTATGGTCTCTATGGGTCTCTGGGTCTCTGTGGGTGTCTATGGGGAATCTCTGTGGGTGCGTGGGTCTCTGTGTGTCTCTGTGGGTCTCTGTGGGTGTGTGGGTCTCTGTGGGTCTATAAGTGTGGGTCTCTGTGTGTCTCTGCGTGTCTGTGGGTCTCTGTGTGTCTCTGTGGGTCTCTGTGGGTCTCTGTGGGTCTATAAGTGTGGGTCTCTCTGTGTCTCTGAGGGTCTCTGCGTGTATCTCTGTGGGTCTATAATTATGTATCTCTGTGGGTCTCTGTGTGTCTCTGTGGGTCTCTGTGGGTCTTTGTGGGTCTTTGTGGGTATCTGTGGGTCTCTGTGAGTCTGTGTGTCTCTGTGGGTCTCTGTTGGTCTCTGTGTGTCTCTGTGTGGGTCTCTGAGTCTCTGTGGGTCTTTGTGTGTCTGTGTGTGTCTCTGTGTGTCTCTGTGAGTCTGTATGTGTCATTGTGGGTCTCTGTGTGTCTCTGTGGGTCTCTGTGGGTCTCTGTGGGTCTCTGTGTCTCTGTGGGTCTCTGTGTGTCTGTGTGTGTCTCTGTGTGTGTCTCTATGAGTCTCTATGAGTCTCTGTGTGTCCCCCCCCCCCTCTCCAGCCCGAGCAACGACCAATCCCATCGCTCTCCTCCCCAACAACACCAGCCACGGCCGCCAGGTCACTCGCCTAAATCGTCGGACACGAAGGCCGGAGCCTCCCCCTCCCCCCCCTCCCCCCCCCATCCCAGCGGCCCTCCGACCTCCGCGGGCTCCTCTCCTTCCAGCGTCCTCCTGCGCCCCCCTCTGCCCTTGCCGGCGTGCGAGCGCCCGTGCGCCCTCAGCAGCGAGGCCCTCGCGAACCCGCGGCCGCACAGCTCGCACCGGAACGTGGGCGGCGGGTCCGTGCCGGCCGCGGCGGCGGCGGCCACGGCGTGGGTCCACCGGTGGGCGTCCAGCGCCGACGGCTGCGAGTATCGCTTGCCGCAGTCCGTGCAGCCGTAGGGCCTCAGGCCCGTGTGGGACACCCGGTGTGCCCGCAGGAAGGAGGCCCGGGTGAAGCCCTTGCCGCACTCGTCGCACGAGTGCGGCCTGCGCGTCGAGTGGGCCGCCCGCTCGTGGACGCGCAGGGTGGCCACCGAGGCGTAGGCCCGTCCGCAGCGTCCGCACGGGTGCCGGGGCCTGTCTGCGTCGTGCGTGGCCTCGTGCGCCCGCAGGTTGGAGCGCAGGGCGAAGGCCCGTCCGCAACGTCCGCAGGCGTGGGGGCGCTCCCGCGTGTGCGTGGCCAGGTGGGCCCGCAGGTGCTGGCCCTGGGCGAACTGGCGGCCGCAGTGCGCGCAGACGTAGGGCCGCTCGCCCGTGTGGGTGCGCCGGTGCACCGACAGCGCCTGGCGGCTGCCGAACAGCTTCTCGCAGACGTCGCACGGGAAGCGACGCTGACGCTGCTGACGCTGCTGGTGCTGCTGCTGTTGTTGATGCGGCTGTTGCGGCTGCTGTTGATGCTGCTGCTGCTGCGACTGTAGCTGGTGCTGCTGCTGCTGATGCTGCGGCTGTTGCTGCTGATGCTGCTGCTTTTGCGGCTGTTGTGACTGATGATGCTGCTGCTGCTGCTGTTGATGCTGTTGCTGCTGCTGTTGCTGCTGCTGTTGCTGCTGCTGCGGCTGATGCTGCTGCTGTTGATACTGGTGCTGCTGCTGCTGATGCTGCTGCTGCTGCGGAATCGTCGGCGGTGTTGACCCGGGGCGGTCGTGTCCGTGTCGGCCCTCGTCCCGGGGTCTCCGTGTCGGCAGGTCGGGCTGCTCGCTCCTCGGGGCTGAGCGGGGAGGAAGCGCCGACGGGGAAGGGGACGGAGTTTGTTGTTTGTTGTTTGTTTGTTTGTTAGCGGGACCACGTGGGGTGGTGAGGGGGCCGCCCGCACACACAGCCGGAGCCTGCGGGCTGCGGGCGGGAGTGGCCGTCACGAGCGACAGATTCGCAGAGATACGTAGAGACTCGGAGACACGCAGAGACACACAGAGACTCACAGAGACACACAGAGACCCACACAGACTCAGAGAGACCCACAGAGACACACAGAGACACAGAGAGACAGAGACACACAAACTCACAGAGACACACAGAGACCCACAGACACCCACAGAGACACACAGACACAGAGACCCACAGAGACCCACACAGAGACCCACAGAGACACACAGAGACCCACAGAGACCCACATAGACCCACAGAGACCCACAGAGACCCACAGAGACACACAGAGACACACAGAGACCCACAGAGACCCACAGAGACCCTCAGCGGGAGTGGCCGTCACGAGCGACAGATCGCAGAGATACGTAGAGACTCAGAGACACACAGAGACCCGCAGAGAGACAGATACACACAGAGATACGTAGAGACTCAGAGATATACAGATACACACAGAGACCCACAGAGACACACAGAGATACGTAGAGACACAGACACGCAGAGATACACAGAGACACACAGAGATACACAGAGACACACAGAGACCCACAGAGATACGTAGAGACACAGACACGCAGAGATACACAGAGACACACAGAGACCCACAGAGACACACAGAGACCCACAGAGACACACAGAGATACGTATAGACACAGACCCACAGAGACACACAGAGACCCACAGAGACACACAGAGATACGTAGAGACACAGACACGCAGAGATACACAGAGACACACAGAGACACACAGAGACACACAGAGACACGCAGAGACACACAGAGATACGTAAAGCAGAGGTCGCAACCGGGTACCCGATACCCGTACCCTACCCGACACCCGGCAGAGGAGGAATGCTGCCTATGACCCCAAGAACACCATCCCCACCGTCAAACACGGAGGTGGAAACATTATGCTTTGGGGGTGTTTTTCTGCTAAGGGGACAGGACAACTTCACCGCATCAAAGGGACGATGGACGGGGCCATGTACCGTCAAATCTTGGGTGAGAACCTCCTTCCCTCAGCCAGGGCATTGAAAATGGGTCGTGGATGGGTATTCCAGCATGGCAATGACCCAAAAAAACACACGGCCAAGGCAACAACAGAGTGGCTCAAGAAGAAGCACATTAAGGTCCTGGAGTGGCCTAGCCTAGTCTCCAGACCTTAATCCCATAGAAAATCTGTGGAGGGAGCTGAAGGTTCGAGTTGCCAAACGTCAGCCTCGAAACCTTAATGACTTGGAGAAAATCTGCAAAGAGGAGTGGTGGGACAAAATCCCTCCTGAGATGTGTGCAAACCTGGTGGCCAACTACAAGAAACGTCTGACCTCTGTGATTGCCAACAAGGGGTTTGCCACCAAGTACTAAGTCATGTTTTGCAGAGGGGGTCAAATACTTATTTCCCTCATTAAAATGCAAATCAATTTATAACATTTTTTGACATGCGTCTTTCTGGATTTTTTTTGTTGTTATTCTGTATCTCACTGTTCAAATAAACCTACCATTACAATTATAGACTGATCATTTCTTTGTCAGTGGGCAAACGTACAAAATCAGCAGGGGATCAAATACTTTTTCCCTCACTGTAGAGACACAGAAATACGTAGAGACACACAGATACTCACAGAGACACACAGAGTCACACAGAGATACACAAAGACACAGAGTCACACAGAAACACGCAGAGTCACACAGAGACACACAGACTCATAGAGAAACACAGAGACTCACAGACACACAGAGATACACAGAGACACACAGAGACACACAGAGACTCACAGAGACATACAGAGACTCACAGAGACTCAGAGACTCACAGAAACTCACAGAGACTCACATAGACACACAGAGACCCACACAGACTCAGAGAGACCCACACAGACTCAGAAATACCCACAGAGACACACAGAGACACAGAGACACACAGACTCACAGAGAGACACAGAGACACAGAGACCCACAGAGTCACACAGAGACACGCAGATTCACACAAAGACACGCAGAGACACACAGAGACCCACAGAGTCACACAGAGACAAGCAGAGACACACAGAGACACACATAGACTCACAAAGACACACAGAGACTCAGAGAGACCCACAGAGATCCACAGAGACCCACAGAGATACACAGAGACTCACAGAGACACACAGAGACTAACAGAGACACACAGAGACACACAGAGACTAACAGAGTCACACAGAGACACGCAGAGACACACAGAGACACGCAGAGACACGCAGAGACACGCAGAGTCACACAGAGACACACAGAGACCCACAGAGACACGCAGAGACTCACAGAGACACAATGTTGATGTTACCAGGTGTAAGACCCCACTGAGCTGCTACTGTGCAGTAGATACTTTGTCACAGATGATTGCAACTCTACCACGTGGGCTGATGTCATCATCAAGTTCACGTGGACATTCATAGCAGCAGACAAACACTCTGAACGGAGACAAATCCACGCGACCACGGGGGGAGAGAGACGCTGCAGACATCGTCAGGGTCGGGATCGAACCCACGATCTCTTGTAAACCTGGCGAGGTAGTTAACATCTCCTAGACACCATGGCAACTCAGAGACTCACACAGAGACCTGCAGACTCACCACACAGAGACCCATAGACTCACCACACAGAGACCCACAGATTTGCAGAGACCGAGAGACTCACACAGAGACCCGCAGACTCACCACACAGAGACCCACAGATTTGCAGAGACCGAGAGACTCACACAGAGACCCGCAGACTCACCACACAGATACCCGCAGACTCACCACACAGAGACCCATAGACTCACCACACAGAGACCCACAGACTCACCACACAGAGACCCCACAGACTCACCACACAGAGACCCATAGACTCACCACACACAGACCCATATACTCATCACACAGAGACCCACACACTCACCACACAGAGACCCACAGACTCACCACACAGAGACCCATATACTCATCACACAGCGACCCCACAGACTCACCACCCAGAGACCCACAGACTCACCACACAGAGACCCACAGACTCACATAGAGACCCACAGCTCCACACACAGAGACCCACTCACCACACAAGAGACCCACAGCTCCACACACAGAGACCCACTCACCAACCAGAGACCCACAGACTCACCACACAGAGACCCACAGACGCACCACACAGAGACCCATAGACTCACCACACAGAGACCCACAGACTCACCACACAGAGACCCACAGACTCACCACACAGAGACCCGCAGACTCACCACACAGAGACCCACAGACTCGCACAGAGACCCACAGACTCACCACACAGAGACCCGCAGACTCACCACACAGAGACCCAGAGACTCACACAGAGACCCACAGCTCCACACACAGAGACCCACAGACTCACACAGAGACCCACAGGCTCACCACACAGAGACCCACAGACTCACACAGAGACCCACAGCTCCACACACAGAGACCCACAGACTCGCACAGAGACCCACAGACTCACCACACAGAGACCCGCAGACTCACCACACAGAGACCCGCAGACTCACCACACAGAGACCCGCAGACTCACCACACAGAGACCCACAGACTCACCACACAGAGACCCACAGACTCACCACACAGAGACCCACAGACTCACCACACAGAGACCCACAGACTCGCACAGAGACCCGCAGACTCACCACACAGAGACCCACAGACTCGCACAGAGACCCACAGACTCATCACAGAGACCCGCAGACTCACCACACAGAGACCCACAGACTCGCACAGAGACCCACAGACTCACCACACAGAGACCCGCAGACTCACACAGAGACCCACAGACTCACACAGAGACCCACAGACTCACCACACAGAGACCCGCAGACTCACACAGAGACCCACAGACTCACCACACAGAGACCCACAGACTCACCACACAGAGACCCACCGACTCACAAAGAGACCCACAGACTCACCACACAGAGACCCACAGACTCACAAAGAGACCCGCAGACTCACCACACAGAGACCCACAGACTCACAAAGAGACCCACAGACTCACCACACAGAGACCCACAGACTCACAAAGAGACCCACAGACTCACCACACAAAGACCCACATACTCACAAAGAGACCCGCAGACTCACCACACAGAGACCCACAGCTCCACACACAGAGACCCACAGACTCACCACACAGAGACCCACAGACTCACAAAGAGACCCACAGACTCACCACACAAAGACCCACATACTCACAAAGAGACCCGCAGACTCACCACACAGAGACCCACAGCTCCACACACAGAGACCCACAGACTCACCACACAGACCCACAGACTCACCACACAGAGACCCACAGACTCACCACACAGAGACCCACAGACTCACCACAAAGAGACCCACAGACTCACCACACAGAGACCCACAGACTCACCACACAGAGACCCACAGACTCACCACACAGAGACCCGCAGACTCACACAGAGACCCACAGACTCACACAGAGACCCACAGACTCACACAGAGACCCACAGACTCACACAGAGACCCACAGACTCACATAGAGACCCACAGACTCACCACACAGAGACCGACTCACCAACGCGAAGACTTTGAAGCATCAGACAACCCATTGACTCGCACACAAAGAGACACATTCATGGACTCTGACATAATCACAGAGACCCACAGGTTCACACAGAGACCCACAGGCGCACACAGAGACAAAAAGACAAAGACCCCCCGTATAGCCTTAGCAGACTGTTGTGGCAAGTGCTGTTAGCGAGCGCCTATAAAGGCCGGCACGGAACACGAGGGGGTGGGTGGCCAGGTCTACGCCCGACCCACAGACTCACACAGAGACCCGCAGACTCACACAGAGACTCGCAGAGACTCACACAGAGACCTGCAGACTTAAACAGAGACTCACACAGAGACCCACAGACTCACACAGAGACCCACAGACTCACACAGAGACCCACAGACTCGCACAGAGACCCGCAGACTCACATAGAGACTCACACAGAGACCCACAGACTCACACAGAGACCCGCAGACTTACACAGACCCACACAGAAACCCATTCACTAGCACAGAGCCACACAGATGCACACAGAGATCCATTCACAGAGACCCGCAGACTCACACAGAGACTCATACAGACCCACACAACCACAGAGACCCATTGACTAACACAGAGCCCCACAGACACACACAAACCCACAGACACACACAGATGCACACACCCACAGAGCCCCACAGAGCCACAGAGAGATCCATTCACCAACACAGGGACCCGTGGCCCCACAGAGACATCGAATTGAGAGAATTTGACTGCCGCTTTAAATGTCCACGTGATAAGAATGCCTCCAGCAGTGGATAGGGCACGGCCGATGACGACGATGATGACGACGACGACGACGACGACGACGATGACGACAATGACGACGACGACGACGATGATGATGACGATGACGACGATGATGACGACGACGACGATGACGATGACGACGATGACGACGACGACGACGATGATGACGACGATGACGACGATGATGACGACGACGACGATGATGACGATGACGATGACGACGACGACGACGACGACGACGACGACGACGACGATGACGATCACGACGACGACGACGACGACGACGACGACGACGATGATGACGATGATGACAATGACGACGACGATGACGATGACGACGACGACGATGACGACGACGACGATGATGACGACGATGATGACGATGATGACGACGATGAGGTAGGGACGGTGGGGTCGAGATGTCTGGTTGCTTAAAGTCACTCACCTCCTCCCCCCCCTACCGCACTCGTGCCGCCACCTCCACCACCTCCACCACCTCCACCATCACCACCAGCGGTACCTCCACCCCAACCTCTTCCAGCCACCTCCCTCTTCCGCAGGTCCAACACACCCCACTCAAACTCTCCCCTCCGCTCCTCCTCCTGCTGCTGCTCCTGCTGCTGCTCCTGCTGCTGCTCCTGCTGCTGCTCCTGCTGCACCACCACGACCACCATCCCCGGCGTGGTCACCACCACGACCGGCGCCGTTCCCTCGCGGTGCGTCCTCAGGTGGGCCTTCAAGTTGCAGTTGAGCGAGAACCTGCGGCCGCATCGCTCACAGCCGTAGGGCCTCTCCCCGGTGTGCGTCCTCCGATGGGCCTCCAGATGGGGCCTCTGGGCAAAGCGGCGGCCGCAGTCCCCGCAGACGTGCGGCCTCTCGCCCGTGTGGGTCCGACGGTGGACGCGCAGGCCGCTGGCGTAGGCAAAGCGGCGGCCGCAGTCCGCGCAGGCGTGCGGCCTCCCGCCGGCGTGCGTGGCCCGGTGCTCCCTCAGCGAGGAGGCCTGAGCGAAGGACTTGCCGCACTCGCACGCGAACAGCGGACGGCCGGCGGCGGGGGCGGCGGGGGTGGCGGCAGGAGGCCCGTGGTCCTCGAGCGGCGACGGGGCCTTCTGTGGGCGGTGGTGGTCTCCGTCGTCGGAGGCGGCCGCGGCGTCGTGCGTGGCCTCGTGCGCCCGCAGGTTGGAGCGCAGGGCGAAGGCCCGTCCGCAACGTCCGCAGGCGTGGGGGCGCTCCCGCGTGTGCGTGGCCAGGTGGGCCCGCAGGTGCTGCCCCTGGGCGAACTGGCGGCCGCAGTGCGCGCAGACGTAGGGCCGCTCGCCCGTGTGGGTGCGCCGGTGCACCGACAGTGCCTGGCGGCTGCCGAACAGCTTCTCGCAGACGTCGCACGGGAACGGCCGACGCTGCTGCTGCTGCTGTTGCGGCTGCTGTTGTTGCGGCTGTTGCGGCTGCTGCTGCGGCGTCGCGGCGGCCGCGGCGGCGGCGGCCGCCAGGGCGGCAACGGCCGGCGAGAGGAGGAGGGGCGGCGGTGGCGGTAGCGTCGCCGGCAGCGGCGATGGTCGCGGTGGCCGAGGCTGCGTTAGCCGCGGTTGTGGCGGTGGTTGTGGTTGTTGCGGTGGTTGTTGCGGTGGTTGTAGCGGTGGTTGTTGCGGTGGTTGTGGTTGTTGCGGTGGTTGTTGCGGTGGTTGTGGCAGTGGTTGTGGCGGGAGCCGTGGTCGTGGTGGCGGTGGTAGAACCCGAACGAGCCCCCATTGTTTACGGATCTCCGCCTCCTCCGCCTCCTCCCCCGTGTATTCCTGCTTCATGGTGGTGGTTTCTGGTGGGCACAGAGACACGTTGGGGGTAAGCCGCGGGGTTCGTTGGATAATACACTACACTATATTACTATACACTACACTATACACTACACTATATTACTATACACTACACAAACCACTATACACTACACTATACACTACTACACTACACACTACACTACACTATATAGTACTATACACTACACTATACACTTCTAAATTAGACACTATGCACTACACTATACACTACACTATGCACTACAATACTATACACTGCACGATACATTACTATACACTACATTATACACGACACTACTATACACTAGTATACACTACACTATACTACACACTACACTACATACTACGCTATATACTAAACTACGTTTCACTACACTATACTACTATACACTCCACTACTAAACACTACGCTATACACGACTATACACTACACTATGTACTACACGCTTGGGAGATCCTGGTCTCAGACTCTGGATCGCCTTCAGTACTTCCTCAACAGATGGCACCTCAGCCAGCCACTCACAGGGGGTGACTTCTTCCTCCAATATTTGAGGCACCGCAGCCTCAGCAGGGTCATCCCCACTTTGTGCCATGATGTTTTCCTGGCTGAGGGATTTCCCCTCTCCCAGGACCTCACAGACAATATACAAACCTGTTCCTGGGGGTTGGAGATTGGATCACCGTTCTTTCCCCTAATGATGGTAATAGGTGTGGCTCTGCAAGTTACTTTTTTGATGGAATTAAAGAGTGATTTGTGATCGCGGGCTACTGAGGCAGACTCCATCTCCTCAGCAACCCATGACCACCACCCATCATTGCAGCGCCTCACGGCTCTCCAAACCTCCGAGTGAAGGCTGTGGTAAGCCTCCTCATTCTCTGATGTGGGATGATGTAGACGATTAGAGTGGACCTGTCGCTTTTTCTCAACCATCCTGAACACCTCATCTGTCAGCCAGGGTCTCTGGGGAGGTCTGGACCATGTAGCCAAAGCAGCCATTGCAGCTGCATGAGTCACAGTCCTAAACCTCGCCCATTTCCCCTCAGCATCAGGAGGAGTGGGGGACGATGCCAACCTCAGTTGCAAGCGATGACGAAATTCTCGCTTGCAACTTTCATCAGCTGAGACCAGGCCACTGTGGGTTTGAATGGAGTCCTGGGTGTACACCCACCACCGGAGTGGAAGAATGGCAGGCGCATCTTACAGATGACAAGTCGATGGTCAGTGGGCAGATCAGCTCGACGGTAGGTCCTGGTGTCAAGGACATGGGCCCGCATCCACGGTTCCGTCACTATGTAGTCCAACAGATGTTCTTGCTTGGACCCGGCATGCATCCATGATGTTGTGTGGATGCACCGATGCCGGAACAGCTTGTTGGTAATTACAAGCCCATGAGCTGCACAAAAATCTAGCAGCCTCCTACCATTGTTATTGAACTGATCTGGCCCATGCCTTCCAATCACTCCAGACCAGATGCCAGCATCATGACCAACTCAGGTATTGAAGTCACCCAACAAGATGACTCTGTCCCGAGGGGCCACTTTAGCCAGCACCTGTGACAGGAGGTCATAGAAGGCATCTGACTCATCGGCCTTGCCTGCATCCCTCCACGGATGTTCGTCTTCGGTGGGGGCATAAATAACTCCGACCACAACTCCTCGCCTCTGGTTGATGAGAAGGCGAGCCCAAAGTAGCCTGGGGCTTACAGCTTCCCACACCTCACCGCCACGCTCCCATGCCCCCTTCATTCTTTTGTTCAGAAGAAGAGCCACTCCCTGTTGTTTGGCAGTCTCCTGCCCCGAGTAGAGGACTGTCCACCCCTCATGGTGGCAGAACTACCGAATACCGCAGAGATCCAGGTGGTACTAGTCCAGCTCCCGACAGAGGAGTGGCAGCCTCTCTTCCGCAGTTTGAACATTCCACGTGGCCACCCGCAGCGGCTTTTTGTTGTTTCTGGAGGAGCTCCGAGGGTAAAGATTCAGTCTTCTGGCTCCGCCAAAGGGGTTTGGCCAGGTGACATCATAGATGCACACACACACACACGCACACACACACACACGCGCACACACCCGCACGCACGTGCACGCACGCACGCACGCACACACACACACACGCGTCCATCCACCACCGTCACCACCGCCGCCACCACCGCCGCCACCATCACCACCACCACCGTCACCACCATCACCACAGTGACCACCACTGCCACCATCATCACCACCACCACCGTCACCACCATCATCACCGTCACCACCGCCACTGCCACCACCGTCACCACCGCTACCACCACCACCGTCACCACCGCCGCCGCCGCCACCACCACCACCGTGACCATCACTGCCACCATCATCACCGTCACCGCCGCCACCACCACCGCCACCACCACCGCCACCACCACCACCGCCACTGCCACTGTCACCACCGCTACCGCCACCACCACCGCCACCCCGCGCGTTACCGTATCACTCCGCGTGTCCTCTCACTGCTCAAGAAAGTAGGTTGTCATCGATCGCTCAGAACTAAAACTTTGTTTATCTTGTTACCAGCTGTAGGGTTCCCACCCACAGAGACCTAGAGACCCATAGACCCACAGAGACCCATACAGACTCATACAGACCCATACAGACCCAGAGACCCAGAGACTCATAGACCAATACACACCCACAGAGACCCATACTCACAGAGACCCACAGAGACCCACACTCACAGAGACCCACAGAGACCCAGAGACCCATACTCATAGAGACCCACAGAGACCCATACAGACGCACAGAGACTCACAGAGACCCATACAGACCCACAGAGACCCAGAGACTCATAAACCATACACACCCACAGAGACCCATACTCACAGAGACCCACAGAGACCCATACAGACCCATACAGACCCACAGAGACCCATACAGACCCACAGAGACCCATACTCAGAGACCCACACTCAAACAGACCCACAGTGACCCACACTCATACAGACCGACAGAGACCCACACTCATAGAAACACACAGAGACTCATACTCATAGAGACCCACAGAGTCCCATTCTCATAGAGACCCACACTCACAGAGCCCCACACTCAAACTGAACAATGTTGATGTCACCAGGTGTAAGAGCCCACTGCTACTGTGTAGTAGATACTTTGTCAGAAGCCACGTGGACATCACAGATGATAGCAGCTCCACCACGTGGGCTGATGTCGTCATCATCATCATCATCACGTGATCATTCATAGCAGCAGACAAATGCCTCTTTAGTCGCGTGGTGATGCTGTTTCTAAATGTGGAGGGGAAAACCGAGGACCCCGAGACAAATCCCACGCCGTGACTACAAGGAGAGAGACGCAGACTCCAAACATACAGCAGCAGCAGGCATCGTCAGGGTCGGGATCGAACCCACGACCTCTTGTACACCAGGAGAGGTAGTTAACATCTCACCACGGAGAGAGAGCGAGACAAATTCTAAATATACCGCAGGGTCAGGGATCGAACCCACGACTTCCTGCACACCGGGCGAGGTAATTAAAATCTCCTCGCCACTGGGAGACGGAGACACTGCAAACTTCAAATCTACAGCAGAAGGCATCGTCAGGGTCGGGATTGAACCCACGACCTCTTGCGTACCGGGCGAGGTAGTCAACATCTCACCACAGGGAGAGAGAGACGCAGACTCCAAATGTACAACAGCAGGCATCGCCAGGGTCGGGATCGAACCCACGACCTCCTGCGTACCAGGCGAGGTAGTAAACATCTCCCAGCCACGGTGGGAGAGATGCAAACGCGGTAGCGGTGATGATGACAGTGGTGGAGGAGATAGTGGTGATGATGGTGGTGATAGTGGTGGTGGTGATGGTGATGATAGTGGTGGTGATAGTGGTGGTGATGATAGTGGTGATAGTGGTGATGATGGTGGTGATAGTGGTGGTGGTAGTGATGATGATGATAGTGGTGATAGTGGTGGTGATGATAGTGGTGATAGTGGTGATGATGGTGGTGATAGTAGTGATGATGGTGGTGATAGTGGTGATAGTGGTGGTGGTAGTGATGATGATGATAGTGGTGATAGTGGTGGTGATGATGGTGGTGATAGTGGTGATGATGGTGGTGATAGTGGTGGTGATGGTGGTGATAGTGGTGATAGTGGTGGTGATGGTGGTGATGATGGTGGTGATAGTGGTGATAGTGGTGGTGGTGGTGATGATGATGATAGTGGTGATAGTGGTGGTGATGATGGTGGTGATAGTAGTGATGATGGTGGTGATAGTGGTGATAGTGGTGGTGGTGATGATGATGATAGTGGTGATAGTGGTGATGATGGTGGTGATAGTAGTGATGATGGTGGTGATAGTGGTGATAGTGGTGGTGGTAGTGATGATGATGATAGTGGTGATAGTGGTGGTGATGATGGTGGTGATAGTGGTGATGATGGTGGTGATAGTGGTGGTGATGGTGGTGATAGTGGTGATAGTGGTGGTGATGGTGGTGATGATGGTGGTGATAGTGGTGATAGTGGTGGTGGTGGTGATGATGATGATAGTGGTGATAGTGGTGGTGATGATGGTGGTGATAGTAGTGATGATGGTGGTGATAGTGGTGATAGTGGTGGTGGTGATGATGATGATAGTGGTGATAGTGGTGGTGATGATGGTGGTGGTGATGATGATGGTGATGATTGTGGGGATAGTGGTGATGGTGGTGGTGGTGGTGATGATGATGGTGGTGGTGATGATGATAGTGGTGATGATGGTGGTGATAGTGGTGATGGTGATGATAGTGGTGATGGTGATGATAGTGGTGATGGTGGTGGTGATGATGATAATGAAGATGGTGGTGGTGGTGATGGTGATGATGGTAGTGGTGATAATGATGGTGGTGGTGATGATGGTGATGATGGTGATGATGATGGTGATGATGATGGTGATGATGATGATATTGACGGCTGAGTCGTCGTAGGAGATTGACACCTCAGGTACCGGTCCAGATAGTCGCCACTGCTGCCGCTGCTGTTGCCGCTGCTGCTGCTACTGCTACTACTGCTGCTGCTACTGCTGCTGCTACTACTACTGCTGCTGCTACTACTGCTGCTACTACTGCTGCTGCTGCTACTACTGCTGCTGCTGCTACTACTGCTGCTGCTACTGCTGCTGCTGCTACTGCTGCTACTACTGCTGCTACTGCTGCTGCTACTACTGCTACTGCTGCTGCTACTACTGCTACTACTGCTGCTGCTACTACTGCTGCTGCTGCTGCCGCTGCTGCTGCTGCCGCTGCTGCTGCTGCCGAAACCTTTGGTGGATGTGGCGTCTGTGAGCGGGAGTGGGCACTCACCCCATCATCTCCACGTCACACAGAGACCCATTGACTCACACAGAGACCCATTGACTCACACAGAGACCCATGGACTCACACAGAGACCCATGGACTCACACAGAGACCCATTGATTTGCACAGAGACCCACAGACTCACACACACAGAGATCCAGTGACTCACACAGAGACCTATTGACTCACACAGAGACCCATTGATTTGCACAGAGACCCACAGACTCACACAGAGACCCATTGACTCACACAGAGACCCAATGACTCACACAGAGACCCATTGACTCACACAGAGACCCATTGACTCACACAGAGACCCATTGACTCACACAGAGACCCATTGACTCACACAGAGACCCATTGACTCACACAGAGACACATTGACTCACACAGAGACCCATTGACTCACACAGAGACCCATTGACTCACACAGAGACCCACTGATTCACACAGTGACCCACAGACTCACACAGAGACCCATTGACTCACACAGATATCCATTGACTCACACAGAGACCCATTGATTTGCACAGAGACCCACTGACTCACACAGAGACCCATTGACTCACACAGAGACCCATTGACTCACACAGAGACCCACAGACTCACACCAAGACCCATTGACTCACACAGAGACCCATTGACTCACACAGAGACCCATTGACTTAGACTCACACAGAGACCCACTGACTCACACAGAGACCCATTGACTCACACAGAGACCCACAGACTCACACAGAGACCCACAGACTCACACAAAAACCCATTGATTCGCAGAGAACCCATTGACTCACACAGAGACCCATTGATTTGCACAGACACAGACTCACCACACAGAGACCCATAGACTCACAGTGACCCATACACTCACACAGAGACCCACAGACTCATACAGAGACCCACAGACTCACACAGAGACCCACAGACTCGCACAGAGACCCACAGACTCACACAGAGACCCACAGACTCACCACACAGAGATCCACAGATTCACAGAGACCCACAGACTCACACAGAGACCCACAGACTCACCACACAGAGACCCATAAACTCACAGAGACCCATACACTCACACAGAGACCCACAGACTCACCACACAGAGACCCATAGACTCACAGAGACCCATACACTCACACAGAGACCCACAGACTCACACAGAGACCCACAAACTCACCACACAGCAGAGACCCATAGACTCACACAGAGATCCACAGACTCACCACACAGAGACCCATAGACTCACCACACAGAGACCCATAGACTCACCACACAGAGACCCACAGACTCACCACACAGAGACCCACAGACTCACACAGAGACCCATAGACTCACACAGAGTGTTGTTGTGGTTGTTGTGATGGTTGTGGTGGTTGTGGTGATGGTGGTTGTTGTGGTTGTTGTGGTAGTAGTGGTGATTGTTGTGGTGGTTGTGATGGTGGTTGTAGTTGTGGTGGTTGTTGTTGTTGTGGTGGTTGTTGTTGTTGTTGTTGTTGTGGTGGTTGTTGTGGTTGTTGTTGTTGTAGTAGTGGTAGTGGTTGTTGTTGTAGTGGTGATGGTGTTTGTAGTGATTGTAGTGGTTGTTGTTGTGGTGGTTGTGGTTGTGGTGGTTGTGGTTGTGGTGGTTGTGGTGGTGGTGTTGGTGGTGATGGTAGTGGTTGTTGTGGTGGTTGTAGTGGTGGTGGTAGTGGTTGTTGTGGTGGTGGTTGTGGTGATGGTGGTAGTGGTGGTGGTAGTGGTTGTTGTTGTTGTGGTGGTGGTGGTTGTTGTGGTGGTTGTTGTAGTAGTGGTAGTGGTTGTTGTTGTAGTGGTGATGG